TCTGCACCTGGACTTGCCACTGCTCTCAAGCTCCTCTGGGTCTGTCCTGAGCCATCAGAGAACCTGGGGCGGGGACTGAGACGGCCAGCCGGTCAGCGTGCAGGGGGTGTGGCGGCTGTGTCCGGGCCTCCACACGCCTAACGCCCACACACACCGTGCTCAGCCTGGCTCTTTACACCTGTGGGACTGCTGGGTGCCTTGGGTTAGTTCAAGTTCCAGTCCAAGTCCACTTAGTGATCCAGGGTGCAGCAGGAGTGCAGGTGTTGGGAGGGGCGGGTGCATGCAAGGATCAGCTCTCTGGGATGTGCTCTGTGTTGGGCTTTGGGTGGTGTGGGAGAACGGGACCCGGGGTGTAACCATGAGGACCTCAGTGCTCGGGACAGGTAGGTGGCCAGGCTCGGGGTAGGTGCAGCTCCCTCTGGGGAGGAGGGGAGGCCTGGGCTGGCTGGGTCTTCACTGGGACTGCTGTGTGCTGGGGCAGAAGCGGGAAGCTCCTGCTGCAAGAGGCCTTGGGGTTCCTCCAGTTGGTGAGACGCACAGGCTAGTGTCGGCCACCAGGAGCAGGCGACAGAGCAGAGGGAGCGGACAGTGATGGGAAATTGGCCAAGTCAAAGAAGGCCAGGCTGTTTCCTCCCAGTGAGAAAGGCCCTGCAGGTCATGTGCTTTTGCCAAAGGAGTGGGCATCTGCAAAGGCGGCTTCGAGCCACTCTCGGCAGCTGGCAACGGCTGACTGGAGACCCCGAGATTCTTGTCCCGGCAGAAGGCCCAGATCCCGCCCCATATGCTGGGTTCTGGCCACGAGGATGTCCCCGAGCTGCGAGAAGCCACTTGGAATCTGGTGGGTTGGCTGACATGTCACAGAACAGCTTTCCAGGGACAAGGGACAGGGACAAGGGCTGGCAACCTGCTCCACTTCGGCTGCACGGGTTTCCTGGCTGCCTGCGAAGGTGGCTTGGGCAGGGCTGTTGACAGATGAGGTGCCTCCGTGACACAGCATGGGAACAGGGACACTTGTAGGTGACAAATTTGCAGGTGCCTGGATTCTCCCACTGTGCTGTCCCTTAAAGTGACAGCCCCACCAAGCTCTGCAACTGCTGTCCACTTCTCCAGGGGCTATGATTTCCCCTAGGATGGCTGGAGCAGGAGGCTGGTGCAAAGGAGGCTGGCAGCTACCCCCGGGCTCTGTGGAGCATGTTTCTGTCTCCTCAGGCTGCAGAAACACGTCACCAAGTCACCAAGACGGTCCCATCCCAGGAGAAAGGTACTCTGGAAGCTCTGGAAGCCCCAGTCCAAAGTCAAGGGGTGGGCAGGGCTTGCGCCCCCTGGAGGCCATGTAGGAGACTGCATCCCATGGTCCCATGCTCCTGGGCTGTGACGGTCCTCGTGGGTCTGTGTGGCTGAACCTTATGGCTCTGTCTCTGCATCTTGCATCCCCTCTCCTTTCTCTTACAGGATGCTGGCCCCATTTCAGCTCAGGAGGATCTCCTGATTTCCTCAACTTCATCACACAGGAGAAGGCGAGTTCCACATAAGATCACAGCTGCAAGATCCCAGCACAGGACCTGGGCGTAGCTTTTTTTTTTTTTTTTTTTTGTACCAGGGTTGAACTTGGGACCTTGCCCTTGTGAGGCAGGCGGTGGCACCACTGAGCTAAATTCCCGGCCCTAGGTGTAACTTTTTGAAGCCACATTTAGCCCACCCTAGAGCAGCTGGACAGAGAGAGGACCAACGGAGGTGCCTTTATAGAGAAGTGGCCAGGGATGGAGGCTGCACCCGAGCAGTGGTGGCTGTGGACAGAAGAGGGGCTGGCGTTGTGTGGCAGGAGCAACACCAGGTTGCAAGGAACGGCGGCTTTCAGGCTGGGCTTTGCCCTGAGCAACTCCATTTTGGGAAACAGTGGTTTGCCGAGACCTGACATGGTGAGATCAAGTCCCACAGTAGAATGGCCCCATGCTGTATCTGTACAAGTAAACAGCCACCATCTGCCCAGCACAGAACCGTGAGGCACAAACTGATAAATAAGTCACAGTGTAAATAAAAAATTAACGTAACGAATTAGATCGGGAGCACAGGGACATGGGCATATCAAAGTACTCAGAGAAACCAGACACGTGAGCTTGTCACATGCCAGAGGCAGCCCTGTGCCTGGGACTCACTGCCATCTGGTCACCTGCCCAAAACGATCTCCAGTGAAGAACTCTCTGTCCCCAGGCCTTCAGCTCAGCTCGTGACACACAGCCCTCTTCAGGCAGACGTGTGCCTGCCGTGCACACTGGGCCCGGGATGTCCCCTGCCACCTGAAAGCTGTCCCTCCAGATCTGCATCTCAGCCACCAGGCCACAGCCCGTGACCTCCTCCTCTGTCCCGGCCAGAGGCGTCTCTGTACCCGCAGCCTTGCTCTCCGGCGCCTCACACGGCCCGGGGTTGTTGCCCACTAGGGGGCTCCGTCCTTCCCTGCCCCCTTCCTCCCAGGTCCACTTCCACCCTCCGAGAATGCAGGGAAGAGTCTATCCCATTGCGCAGACCATGGATGTCGGGGACCAGAGGAGAATCGAGGCCTAATTGGCCTCCTCTATGAGCACGAGGGAGAAAGGCTGCCCTCGGAGGTGGTGGTGCACTGCAGGTTCTAGCGAAAATTTAAAGACAGCTGAGGTTAAGCTGAGGTTACCTGCGAGACTACGAATGGATACTGGAAAGCAGGTGAATCTTATGCTACTTTGATTGCTTGCGCTGGTGTCTGAGTGAATAAAGACAAGACGAGCCAGACCTCGGGCCTCCTTTGCCTACTAGAGGTGAGAGCCCCCGGATGTCCGCACCTGGGTCGGGGAGGACAAAGCAGCAGCCCTCCGGCCCTGCACAAGTGGTGCCAGGTGGGGAAAGCTGGAGGCGTGAGCTGGCTCTCCACAGGCGGCGCCTGGGGCAGGAGGGACCTGAGACCTCCGGGCGAAGGCCGGCCAGGTACGTGGGTTCGACATGGGCATCGCTGACGAGTGTCCCGTCACTGGGCCAGATGACCAAGGGCCAAGAGATAGCCGGTGATAGGCTCCCGCCCAGTTTGTGAGAGGCAGTGCTGGAGGTTTCGAGGCCTCAGGGCTGAGGTATGCTTTGGTCAGAGCTCGCTGCCCTCAGGCATGTGGTGAAACCCAGATCTTCCTGGGGCTGGACTGTGGCTCACAGCAGGAGAGGCTGTCGGGACAGGGCTTGAGAAGGGGAGCTGGACGTGGCCTTGACCAGCTTCCGGAGTGCTGTCCCAGGAACCTGTGTCCCGGAGAGGGAGGGGCTGTGTCAAATACAGGGCACCTCGTGCCCTCAGCTCCCCAGTTTGTGCTTCTGTGTCCCCGCAGGCCTCTCGCTTGTCATTTTTACCTACCCCGCTGTCCCCCTCATTAGTCCTCTGTTCTCTGGAGTTTCATGCATATTTTTGCCTCTACAAAATGTGTTGATCTTTCATGTCGTACACCTTTTTGTTTGTTTTGCTTTTTGAGACAAGGTGTCTCTTTGCAGACCAGGCTGGCCTTGAACTCACAGTGATCCTGCTGCCTCAGTCTCCTGAGGGCTGGGATCACAGGTGTGCACTGCCACATCCAGCTGTATGCACTTACGTTTAATAGATTTTAATAACAGCAGAGCCTCTGCACGGGACTGAAGCAGGAAAAGGAGACAGATCACACAGGGACGCTGTGAGGTGGCTGGAGAGCTGGCCACGCTGTGTAGTGGGGCCTGCAGACCGGGAGCAGAATTTCCCTGGCATTCCTGCCATCACTGCAGGGAGCAGGCTCTGCAGTCCCCTCGCCGTCCAGGGTGAGGGTCTCTGGCACACGTAGAGCACCCTGAGTGGCCACTTAGCACCACTTCTGTTGGCTTCAGCAACGAGTGCCAGCCTTGGTGGCCCTGTGCTGGGCCGGTCACGACTGGGTCCAGCCACACTGGTGGTCACACGTGGCTTCTCGTTAGGAGGATGGAGCCTGGTTGTAGAGAGAAGCCGACAGCTGTGGCCTTCCCTAGGGCAAGGACTACACCCGTGGTGGTTGTGTCGATTCGCCCTCCCACGTCCTCTGACCCTATTCATGCACCTGTCTGCAGCGGCTCTGCTGTGTCTGTCTCTAGTTGACGCTCATCTCAGCCGGGCCGGCGATGGCGAGGTTCCTGGGACCTCCACGTGGTGCTGTCCCCGGACAGGCAGGGCACTGCCAAGAGACCTGGAGGGCTGCAGGGTGAGGGTTGGGGGGACACCATTTCGCCCACGGTCTTGAAGGCTGGGCCCGGGGGTGTTCAGCTTGCTGTCCTTTCCCCTGCCTGGACGGGAGCCGAATTTGCAGACCTGGGCTTCTCCCCACAGGCCACTGGGAGGCCCCAGGCAGACGGTGGGGCACCATATAGCTGTCACCCCAAGCCATCCCTCCCACCCCAACTGCCACTCAGCAGACGCTTGGTTCCGTCTGCCGGTGCCTGAACTCTGGTCTCAGTTGGCTCTGAATCAGGGTGGGAAAGCGGGGTTCTGCTCACGGGGCCCCTCCAGCAGCAACAGCTCCTAGACCATACATGGAATCTTCACTTGGTCCCAAGGTCATGGAAAGCACCCCCAACATTTTCACTGAAAGACATTTAAAACCTACAACAGTCTGGAAGACCAGAACCCCAGGAGTCCGCGACGCCTTCTGTGCCTGCAGGGGGATTCACCCCAGACCCCCAGGCACCTGCAACCAGACAGCACCAAGCCCTACTTGGACTTGGTTTTCGCCATCCTTACAAACCTGTCACAAAGTCTGCTTTATAAATTTGGCATAGCAGGGCGCCAACAAGAATGACCACAAGGATTCACTATCCCTGTGATAGACTATGACAAGGGCTGTGTGAGTAGGGCCTCCCAAAATACCTTACTGTTTCCTTCTGGGACCTCCCATTTCATTTTTTCAGACCACAGTTGACTGTGGGAAAGCAAAACTGCGGGACGGCTGTGCCCGCACACAGACCACACGTTCATATGTGGCATCTGCGCGTGCGCGCATGGATAACACGCATGCGCGCACCACCTTGTTTGCCGAGCCTTGTGAGTCAGGAACAGGCGCAGTAACGTTTCGCCCCCACCCGTACCCTGGCCCTCCTGGGGACAGAATGCTCCCCTGGCACAGTTGCACCAGGGCTCTGCGGAGGGGCGGAGCGCTGGACCGGTGCGTGTGGGAAGGGACTGTTCCGAGGCGCTGGCTCGTGCTGTCCACATCCGCAGTGTGGGCGGCGGGCGGCCCGGGAGGTCCCTGGTGCAGATGAGCCGGAAGCCTCTGCTGGAGAATTACCTCCCTCGGGGCAGCCGGGTTATTTGTTCTCGTGAGGTCTTCGCCTGACTGGACAAGGTCCACCCACCTGATGAAGCACATTTGGCTCTACTCTAAGTTCTCCAATTTAAATACAATCTCTTCTCTGTGTTTTTGAGACAATGTCCCACTATGTCGTCCAGGCTGGCCTTGAACTCGAAATCCTCTTGCCTCAACCTTCCAAGGGCTGGGATGACAGGCGTGTACCAGCATTCCCAGGGGTCTCATCCAACTGCCCGCCTGTAGCTGCGCTGACACACAAACCCAGCCATCACAACACTCCCACTCAAGAAAAGATCAGCCCTGGAAGTACACGCCGGGCAGATTTCCCTGATCACATCTCTAATGTTCTTCATGGTTTTTCCCTTTTAATCCAGGGTCCAGCCAAGGATCACACGGCCCACTCAGCTGCCACGCTTCCTGGTCTTCTTCGCCTTCACCGCACTGCCCCCTTTCGGCAATCCCAGCACCTGCTCTGCAGCAGGTCCCCAGCTCTGGACTTGCTGGCCGTCTGCTCTTTAGGAGATCAGTTAGAAGCCGGCCACACCCTTCCTGGTACACAGGTCAGTCTGATCCCCCGGCCAGGGGACTCTGCCGGGCTTCTGGGGATGAAGCTGCCTCCCCTTTGAGTCCGAGCGATGGAGACGAGGCCTCCTTGGTGCTGAGACCTCTCAGGGAAGGAGGGCGGAGGGTGAGCGAGCACTGTGGCTCTGGCTAGTTTCCTCTGCACCCGAGGAGGCCTGGACTCCCCAACACCCAGCCTTCTCAGCTGGGAAGATGGAGCCCGCAGTTGTGGCCCCCAGGCTGGCTCAAGTGCACACAGTCATGAATGGGTTCCACAAGCTGGGCAGGGCAGCGAAACTGCACTTTGTCCTCTTAGAGCCCGGCCAGGACCGAGCGTTAAGTACACACAGAAGCCGCAGGAGAAAGTGTGCCAGTTATTTCAAGTTGTAAGTTATTTGCAAACTGCCCAGGAGCCCGCAGGAAGAGATGGTGGCCTGGATGTTGAGAATTTGTGTCTGGGGTGGGGGTGTCTTCAGTGGGGGCTGTGGCACGAAGGTCACAGTGACCTTTGTGCACCTGCTGGCTTTCAAGTGTCCATCATTCCCAGTTCCTTCTCTCCCGGGACCACAGTGTGCGCTCTGGGAGCTCCTCCATCCTGGCTCCCTTCTGTGCATCCCCTCACTTCAACACACTGGCTTTAGGGTCACACAGCCTGAGTCCCCATCATACATCTGCTGTGTGACCCTCGCTTCTCACCTGGGAAGTGGAGACAACTGGCAGAGCCTTTGGGCTCTTGGGGATGATGCCGAGCGCAGGGCACCGCAACAGCTCCTGGAAGCGGCCGATCCTCCTGCGACCCTCGACACCACCTTCGAGGGCAGAGTACTGCTCCTTCTGGGTGCCCTTTCCAGTTTTTAAATTTCAAAACGGGGTCTCACAAAGTCCTCAAGTTGCCCAGGCTGGGCTTGAACTTGTGATCTTCCCGTCTCGGTCTCCCAGATGGCTGGGACTGCACACATGTGCCTGGCTTCTTTTGTCCTCTGTGCTCAAACTTGCCACGTAGTATGGCCATCTGCAGAGACAGTTTGCTCCTCTCCAGTAGTCAACAATTTGGGTCTCCCTGGTTACAGTGTCACCCTAGGTCCAAGCAGGGGATAACCGGATGTCCGTCGCCAGAAGAATGACCTGTGTCACAGAGTGACGACATGAGCAGGGTGGTTTGCACACAGCAGGGCTTTGCAGCAGAGGTTCGGTGTGCGTGTTGGCAGGGGCAGGCCTCCCGGATGAGCTGCTGAGTGTCAGAAGCCAGCCCACGTAGGGTTCCGAGAGCAGGCAGTTAGGCCCTGTTCCAGGTGCACGCGTGGGTGATGTGGAGGGAGGCCACTGCCACCTCTGGGGCTATGGTCAGGAAGGCTGTCACACTGTGCCTGGGGCCCATAGACACATGGGCAACGGCTGGGTTTGTAACCATGGTGAAGTGGGCATTTCTGCTCTATGTGCTTTTCCGGGTATGAATTAAAGATCATTATGGTTTCTATCTAGATGTCCCCCAAGAGCCTCATGTGCTCGTGGGTGGGGCTTTTGGAAGATGATTGAATTACAGGGCTTATATAGTAGCTGACTGCTGTTAGGAGGCAGGGCCTGGTGGGAAGAGGCATCACTGGGGCGTGGCCTGGAAGGTTCCTCTCCCTCCCAGCTCCTCCCTTCTTTCTCTTTCCTGTTCCCCATGCCCTGAGCAGCTCTCCTCCGCCAGGCCCCTGTGCCAAGTTGTCCTCTTCTGAGGCTGCGAGGGAGGATCTGCCCTGGGCCTCCCCAGCTCCGGTGGTACCTGCAGTCCACCTTGGCTTGTAGTTCTGCCTCACCTTCCTCTGGGTTCTCCCCTGTGTGTCTCTGGGTCCAGATTTCTTCTTGTCACAAGGACACCACTCCTGTTGGATTAGGGCCACACTACTGACCTCACTTTACCTTAATTACTTTGTCTTCGTCACTCTATCGGTGAGACACAATAGCACTCATCCACAATTTAAAGGACAGGTGGATTTGGGTTCCTGGTTTCAGCCAGAGTCCACCATCTACCACTCTCAGACCCATGCACTGCCTTTCCCACCTCTGGCCTGGAAGACTGACCTTCAGGGGAGGTCCCGGGCTCTTGGCCTCTGACTTCCTGTCAGATTCAGCCAATGGGAGGCCCCAGCAATAGCAGAGGGCGGGATGAGAGCAGTCAGGACACTTCCTCCTTCCTCCGCCTGTGGGACTGGCTTCTGCAAAGGTCCAGCTCCTCCTCCTTGGCCACAGCTCCCATTTACGAGTTCCTCTCATAGCTACAGGCTTCCCTTTCTCCACTTTTCACCTCTTCCAACCCAGGGGTGGTGACATTTTCTGCTGTTGACCCCAGAGAGTGTCGCTGTCCCTGAGGCTCCTGGAAGGCAGCACACACCTGCGGCAAACTCTGTGGGGCACCCATACAGCGACTCACGGAGCTTCCCTGACTGTGCAGATGACTCTTCTTAGAGAGGGATCATTTGCGGATGTTCCCTAAATCAAATGCATGATTTTCAAAGGTCTTGAAGCCCTCAGATTAAAGCTTTTTGCAGCAACGTTGTGAAGTGATGTATCACTGGCTAGCTTGGGTTCTTAAGCACACATAAGATGGAAATCAAAGCCTGCTGGCAGCTGTCACCTCTATCATCCTTTTCCTTTAAGGCCGACTCCTGTGGGAAAGGCTTCTGTGTGTGCTTCCAAGATGTTACCATTTGGCTGGTGGGATGGGGTGGGGAGGTGGGACCCTGCCTGCTCAATGCGTATAGAAATCCCAGCCAGGCAAACTGGAGCTCTTTTGGTGTTAGCTTTGAATGCTAGGGGCGGTCGGCCTTTAGTGTCTGTGGACCCTTTGTTCTCAGAGCAAGTGGCTATCAGAAGGGCTCAGAAGTTCTTCTGGCCGTGGGAGATGGTGGCTCCTGTGATTCCTCCTTGTTCTTCACCGTTCTCTACTGCTCCATGCCTTCAGGGTTGCCAGCCTTGGCTGCTCCCGGCTTCAGTGTTATAGCTCCGCCCACTCAGCACGCTCTACTCAAGGTAGAGATCATGAGGGGGCGAGAACGTTCCGTCCACAAGGGACTTTACTAGCACGTATGCTGCAGCATGACAGGGAAGGATACACGGGCTGAACCTGCCAAGCAGATGCGGAGGTTGCTTACGGAGGAAAAAGGTGGGCTCACGCATGTGCAGTGTCAGACTTCCGGTTTGGCCGTGGGTCTGGCAGGAGCCTCTATGGAAACTGATTAAGGAGGCTGCAGCGGGGCGGAGTCCTGGGATAGGTCTGTGCGTAAAGCCTGCTGGAGCCAAAGCAAACAGCTTCTGTCGCAGCCCTGGGTGTCCGATGTAGCTGCCTAGCTCCAAGGTGCTTGGGGAAGCTGTGGAATAAAAAGAAAAAGATCTCTTGGGGGATGTTGGGCCCTTCCTTCCTGCCTCATTTTTTAATGTCTTTCATCCCTCAGTCTTGGAATTGCTGCCCTCACAGAGCTCCCTGGCCTTCTGGGACTGCGTTTATTTTTTGTGATGAGAGCAAATGCCACATATGGCCGGACCTGTGTTTCCCTTTTGTTTTTCTGTATGTCGACATCATGCAGGTGCATGGGCAGAGGCTGCCTGGGGTGAGATAGCCCAGCCCTGAGTGGAGTACAGGGAGTGCAGATTTGGCATCCAGGGTGTTGTAGACCGGATGGAGGTGGATTACAGGCTGCTACTTCTGGCCTCAGCAGAGAAGTGACACTTCTTGGAAGGAAGAGGGAAGAGCTGGTGATTGATCCATGGAAGGCACAGGGTCACCCATCAGTCCACCTGCTCTGCAGCTACTGGGGGACTTTTTCCTGGAGGACAGTGGAGCAAGCCCCCTTCTGCATGGCTCCCTGCTACTGCAGAATAAGATCTGAAGCTCACCTTGCCAGCCTCTGCCCACCACGAGGCTCCCTGCCCATGCACGGCGAGCTGACCCAGAGGCATTTATAACTCCTTCAACCCTGGGGCACTTTGACAGCTCCCAGCTATTGTCCATGCAGTGTCCTCAGCCTGGGATGCTGTCACTTGCTATTAACCTCAACATGAAGGCCGATGTCAAGGCCAGCAGAAAGAGAAGCTCACTCCTCTGGAATGAGAGCTTTGTGGGGGAGGCCTTGGTCCTGGGACCTGAGCCCAGGAGATGGATGCTGCCTGGCTCTTTGTGGCTGTGTCCCCACCCTCTGCTCTGCATGGATCCAGCACCTTTTCCCAGTCACAGGCTGTGCCACCTGCTGCGCAGGTCCTTCTTGGAGCCTCAGTTTCTTCATCTGTGAAAGGGGTGCTGGTGCCTGTCCCATAGACTAAGAAGGGTGGCCTGTGAAGAGAGAGAGCTTGCCTCTCTGCCAGCCTGCAGGACTAGCTCAATAAACAGTCCTCCCTGTGAGGCTAGGGCTGGGGTTCAGGGTGGGAGCTCAACTCCTGCACCCATCTAGGTGCACATTTCAGGTGGCAGCAGGATCCTTGGACTGGAGGCTCAGATTCCCCCAGACTTTGGAGATGGTCTGTCCCCGTCTGTCCCCAGACCCTGTGGTGGCCCTGAGCTTGCAAGTGGCACCCAGAAAGCTCTGTGCAGATCTCGGTTCTCCAGGCACCTCCTGAGCTCTCCTGTGTGGTCACAAAGGGGAGCAGCCCTCAGGTTCAGTCCTGAGCAGTTCCCGATTCAGTGGGGGAAACAGACGAGGACCACACAGAGCGATGGTACCCACAGGAGGCTGCGCAAGGGCGGGGTGCACCACTCGTGAGGGGTGGGCATGCAGCTGCCTTCCTGGAAGAGGCGATGTTGGGGAGGCACCAACTAGGGCAAAGGGGCCGGGATCTAAGGGCACAGCTGCCTAAGAACCAGAGCTGGATGTGGGGGTGGAGGGGTGGGAACAGGTGGTCGGTGTTGGACAAGTCACTTCCTCTCCCCGTGGGACTTCTTAGTGAGCAGCACAGAGAGGGCAATGTCTGTTGTTGAGGTAGGAAGTGTCCTGAGGTCACCCATGGTTAGGGCAGAGCTGAGCCCAGAAGCCACATCTCCAGGCAAACCACAGCAGGCTGAACAAGTAGACCAGACCCGAACTTCAGAGGAAGAAGGCTGCCATAGAAGGGACCATGAGGCTGGGTGTGGTGGTGAGTGCCTGTAATCCCAGTACTTGGGAGGCTGAGGCGGGAGGATCAACATGATTTTGAGGTCAGCCTGCGTAGTGAGGACCCTCTCACAACAGCAACAACAACAAACAGACCCTGGCATGGGGCTTCATCAACAGACCTTTCTTTTTCAGCCCTGTGGAGGCTGGAAATGTGAGATCGGGGTATGAGGATGGACACAACCTTTGGTCCGTAGCAGAAGGAAGGCCCCGCTCTGGCCCATTTGTCTCTGTCTCTCTGGAGCATGCACCATTAAACTTGCTTTCTCATGCATCTGCAATGCTGGTTTTCCCACAGTGATCAACCCCTGGCAGCTCCTGCCCCAGCTCCGCCTCTGCCCTGCCCTGTCACTCTGATCTCCTGCGTGGATGAGGGGAATTGTACACTGCAAAAGACCTGCACTTTGGAGAGGATAAAACCCCCTTGAAATGCACATTATTGTTATTTTTATTACAGGCATCAGAGCAAAGCTGCCTGTTGAAAAGAGCTAATTTAGTTAGATCAGGAATAAGTGCTACTTGAGTTGAAGACTCATTCTCCTTTGTGATACTTCCTTTTGGGTGTAAATCAGGAGAAGGGCTTTTAAAATATTTTTAGTACAAATGTATTCCAGTCACATGGTCAGTCACCTCTTAGCGCAGTTACTGAATGGGATCTCCATGTGATGACTGAAATTGACTTCCTGGACAGCTCGGGAATCCTTTCCTCCTTTCAGACCATATTTGAGTTCATTGATTTGAAAAGGGAGCAGGGAAAATTACCCATGACTCTGCATGGGAAATGAGCTGTTCTGTGAGAGGGTCTTGCTGCAGACCTGACCTCTGCATGGAGTCAGAAATTGCTCCTGTAGTGTCTGTTGTCTCTCCCTTCTCCTATCCAGCCCCTTCCTATTTACAGGATGCGTTCAATGTGCAACCTTCAAGCCACCTACTGAAGTCAAGCCTCCCTGGAGGATAAACCTCTAACCCCAAACTGTTATATGTTACTGTTCCTGAGCCCAGGGCAGACATTGCTAATCCATCAGGCACACTTTCCCATGAAGCCTTGGTCTCAGTGGGAAGCTTTTGGCAGGCATTCACAATGGATCCATGTTGATTGTGGGTGGAAACTATTGTCAGGCACAGCCTGAAAACAATGCAAATGGAAGGGAAGAGGATGAGTGAAGACGAGGGTGGTGGAGATAATCCACAGTTTAAAGAGCTCTGACAGAATACATGTAACATAAAACTTACCACCCTACCCATTTTTAAATGCACAGTTCAGAGGCCTTAAGCACTGTGCTGCATGGCAGCTCTATCTTTTAAAACAGGAACTCTTTTGTTTTGCTTTGTTTTATTTTGTTTTTGAGATAGGGTCTCAGTAGGTAGCCCGGGCTGGCCTCCTGTAACCCTCCTGCCTCAGCCTTCTGAGTACTGGGATTACAGGCGTGGGCCACCACCCTGGGCCCAAAACAGATACTCTGTGTATCACCAGCTTTCCATTCCCCTCCCCCAGGTCCTACACCACCACTGTGCTTCCCGTGGCTGTGATTGATTTTGACTTCTCTAATCCCTCACATGGGGACTCCTACAACATTTGTCTTTGGGAAATTAGCTTGTCTCACTGAGCATAATGCCCCCGAGATTCATCCATGTCTAGCGTGTGTCAGAATGGCCTCCCTTTTTGAGGCTGTGTAATATTCTAAGGCACGTGTACGTGGGGATCATGAGTATTGGTTGTAAGTATTGTTAACTTTAGTAACTCCATATGTGTTAAGTTTCTCCAGTTTAGCAGGTGGTGTGTTTCCTTTGTGGAATTCCTGAAAGTTACAGTTTCTTGTCTCTGACCTTTAGATGTGTGGTTGTCCGGGTCACTACTACCCATGGTGGGTTGTTTTTGTTGAGCCTGTTTGCTCTTTTCCTGTGTGAACTTTGAGTTACTATGGTTACCCCATTCCATAATAGGTTTTTTTTTTTTTTTTTTTGCTTTAAAAGGCTGATGCTTGCCGGCAATAAACGTTGCCTTGATCAGACTCTTGTCTTGGCGTCCTTCCTTTCTCTCTGCCCCATCTCCACCCCGCTGCTCTTTCAGGTTTGAGACGCTGCTGGACAGTGCTCTGGGTCGCCAGCTCGCGACACGTGTAGACCACATTTTGCATAGCATTCCCCTCTCTGGAGCTGATGGTCTGCTGTGGTTTCAGATCTTTTATTTCGTACCCCCTAAAAGCCCCTCCCATTTCATTCAGCCCTATAACGTTCCTTCTGAGCAGATAAGAGACATGAGAGCAGGGATGTTTCGATGCTGTAGGATGTTCAGGGTCCTCGAGATGTGAGAGTTCAGCGTGGCCAAGCCCTTCCCCACTAGGAGGTCCTGAAGGGTCAGCCTGTGGCCTTGCAGGGAGCAGCCTGCATAGGAGAAGTCCTCAAATGTTTCCCAAGACAAGGCACTCCATCGTGGTTGTGCTCATCCACGTGCCCCAGAGGGACAGAACAATAGGGTCCCCCCGTCCCCCATCCCGTCCCGTCTCCGTCTCCCTCCAGCTCTTAGGGCTGTGACGCTACTTTGTCCTGGGAGCCAGCCGCTGAGGAGCAGAGCCCAGCCTGGGCCTGGAGGGCAGAAGGTTGGTGTCCAGCTCACGGAGCCAGGCAGGGAGCAGATTCCTCTTCCCTCCTCTTTTCCTTCTCTCTGGGCTCTCTGTGGCTGGGGAGATGCCGCTGTACCTTGGGGAGCTGTTTTGCTGGTTCTACCAGTTCAGATGCTGACACCCAGAAATGACGTGACCAGCTACCTGGGTGCTGTCGCCCACACCGAATCACCATCACGACGGCCCGCAAAGATCGCGTGGAGTCACGGGGGTTGTGTTGTGTGAACGCAGAGCCTTGTTGGAAAAGTTACCCGGGAAATACCCTACCTGAACTTAGACGTGCATTTGGATGATCATAAAAATGAGCGATTTATTCCAGTTATGTGGAGCTTTGTTCCGTAGAGGGTGATGTGGATTGATGCGCATCGTGCTGGGCTCCGTTCATGAGCTCTGCCGTACGAATCCCCTGCAAAGGTGCCTGTGAGGAGGGCACGTCCTGGGTGGTTTCCTTCTGAGCCTGAGTTGCGCCTTCCCCTCCCCTGCATTTGCCGTCACGTTTGGCTTTCTTCCCTAGGCGGGTCTGCCGCAAGTGGCCTTTCCGCTGGGTGCTTTTACTCCGAGGACAAGAGCCTCTTGTCATGAAAGTGGTGAAGACCTTGCTATAAGAAAGGGCAGCGGAAGCAGGGCAGGCCAGGGCTGCAGGTCACTGCAAAAACATCTGATTTTCTAGAAAAGACAAAACCATCCATCACACTCATTGGCAGCCTCGGAGGAAGCTCCGGCAGTGATGATGATGGATGGGGAGGTTTGGGCTCAAACTCACCCGGCGCCTCAGGACAGAACCGGCTGGTGCTGAGCGCATGTGGGGCGGCCCTGAGCTTGGCTGGGCACTGGCAGTGTTCCTTTTCTGGGGCCACCGTGACCAATGACTGCTAATGCATGGCTGAGATAATAGCCATTTATTCCGTTGTAGTTCAGGAGGCCAGAGTTGAAGTGTGGGTGGCGTTGGTTCCTTCTGAGGGCCGTGGGCAGAATCTGTCCCAGCCTTGCCTGGCGCCCTGTGCTTTGCTGCCTTGGATCAGAGACACAGGGCGGTTGACCCCTCCCCTTCACAGGGTCCCCTCTTTGTTGTTCCTTACAAGGACCGGGTTGGGATTTTAGGCCTACCCTAAGTCCACATTGCTCTCGAGAGCCTCGAGTTCCTTTCTATAGAGATTCTTTCCAGTAAGCTCACACTCACAGGTCCTGGGATTAGGACTTGGACGC